GCCTATATGCCTCTACTTCTGGCTGTGTGTGTGTGTGTGTGTGTGTGTGTGTGTGTGTGTGCGTGCCCGTGTGTGCGCGCCTGTGCACCTATAGTAGGGCTTGAACTCAGGGTCTGGGCACTGTCACTGAGATTTGGTTTTGCTCAAGGCTAGTGCCCTCCCATTTGAGCCACAGCTCCACTTCAAGCATTCTGGTGGTTAATTGCAGATAAGAGACTCAGACTTTCCCGCTCAGGCTAACTTCAAATCTCAGTCCTGAGATCTCAGCTTCCTGAGTAGTTAGGGTTACGAGTGTGAGCTATCAGCACCTAGCGGACAGGACATTCTAATCAGCAGCACAGGTGATTTTCTTGTAAGCTGCCTTCAGAACAGACTTGGAGAAATAGTGCCTTCTGGGGCTGGGAGGGTGGCTCAGTGGTAGAGTGCTTGCCTTGCATGCATGAGGCCCTGGGTTCGATTCCTCAGCACCACATAAGCAGAAATAAGCCAGAAGTGGTGCTGTGGCCCAAGTGGTAGAGGGCTAGCCTTGAGCTGAAGAGCTGAGGGACAGTGCCCAGGCCTAGAGTTCAGGCCCCATGACCGACCAAAAAAAAAAAAAGAAAGAAAGAAAGAAATAGTGCCTTCTGCATTAACTTACAGAGCACCTTAGCTATAAATCAGTTTTAAAAGCCCAATTATACTTAAATTCCACTGAAAGGGTTGGGGGTTTAAAACCACCTTTCAGCAAATCCTGTGTGTAATTTCCACATGAAATGGATAGATCTACAGTGAGGCTATACAGTATTTTGGATTTCTACAGACTTTTGTTTCTCAATGTAGTCCTATTACTTAGTAGTACTTTGACATTACTCCTCAAAGTAGTAGCTATGAAAGTTGTGCTTTTACAAATACACAAGCTATAAATAAGATATTGTACTTCCCTTTGGGCTGTTAATAGTTATTGTTAATAATAACTTCATTTGTTAATGATAATTGCACACTTACCGAGAAAGGCAGAGAAGTTTATCATAAATCCAAAAATTCCACTCTCTGGCGGTGTTGTTCCTGTATCACTGGGAAAGAGAAGAAATGTCTAGCTTACTAACAAAGATATTCAGTTCACACCTTGGGACACGTAATTGGTAAGTTTTGTATTCTTTTTTCTTCTGGGTAACTATCCACTTTTATCCCTGAAAGTACAGCCTGAGTTTGTCTCAATGTATTTTCATATGGATTCTAAAAAAACTAAATCTTATTCTTTATCATGAGACTGCATTTGAATCCAGGAGCTGGTGGCTCACGCCTACAATCTTAGCTACTCAGGAGGCTGGTATCTGACGACTGAGGAACAAACCAGCCCAAGCAGAAAAACCTGAGAGATTTATTTCCAATCAACCAGCAAAAGCTGAAAGTTGGATGTGTGGCTCTAGTGGTAAAGCACCAACCTTGAGCAGAAAAGCATAGGGATAGCATAAGGCTGAGTTCAAGCCCTTGTACCAGTACACATATACAAAAGAAAATGTTAGTGGGGCATAGGTGACTCATGCCTATAATTCTATCTACTCAGAAGGCTGAGATCTGAGTTTTATGGTTTGAAGCTAGTCTGAGCACTCTTATCTCCAATTAACTACCAAAAACCCTGGAGTGGACCAGTGGCTCAAGTGGCAGAATGCTAGCCTTGATTTAAAAAGCTTAGGAAGCTGGCTCTCACCTTCTACTCCTAGCTACTCAGGAGTCTGAGACCTGAGGATTCTGGTTCACACTAGAATGGTCAGGAAAGCCCCTGAGACTTTTTTTTTTTTTTTTGCTCAGTCGTGGGGCTTGAACTATGGGCATGGGCACTGTCCCTGAGCAATTCAGCTCAAGGTGAGTGCTCTACCACTTGAGCCACAGCACCACTTCTGGTTTTCTGGAGGTTAATTGGAGATAAGAGTCTCAAGGGGCATTCCTGCCCTGTCTGGTTTTGAACAGCGATCCTAAGATCTCAGCCTCCTAAGTAGCTAGGATTACAGGCATAAGCCACTAGTGGCTGCTTAGTGAGACTCTTATCTCCAGTTAACCACCAGAAAACCAGAAGTAGAACTGTACACAGCTTAAAGTGGTAGAACTCTAGCCTTGCATGAAAGATCTCAGCGACAGCACCCAGGCCTTGAGTTCCAGTCCCATGAATGAATGAATGAGTGAAAAACAAAAACAAAAAACAAAAAAAACAAAAAAGCTCAAGGGCAGGTCCCACCCCAGGATCAGCACCAAAAAAAAAAAAAAAGTTTGTGATATCAGAATAACTTAAACCTTCATTCTTAGTGAAGAACTGAGTAAATGTTGAAAATTAAAAACTGAAATCAAGAAGTGGCACTGTGGTTCAAGTGGCAGAGCACTAGCCTTGAGCAAAAGAGCTTAGGGACAGCGCCCCAGGCCAAGAAGAGTTTAATCCCCAGGAACATACAAAAGCAAACAAAAAAACATGATTAATCTCTGAACAATAACAAGTGCTCTTATGATAAATTACTTTAACAAAAGCAGGGTTCTATGAAAAAAAAAACCACTTCAGGTACAGTTTACCAGTCCGTTAGACTATTTGCAAAATGGTAATGAACGTGTTGTGAATGTTTTCTATTCAGGAATGTCAGGTTTTAAATGCTTACATTGCTCAAACTGCTCACCGGTCACTTTTCCCCTTGAAAACCACTAGCAAAAGAGCTCCCAACAGGAAACAGCATGTACCCGGTTCTGAGTGTTTCCACATATAAAAATAGCTCTGAAATTTCAGTGTTGAAAACTGATCACATTGCAAAGATGCACTTCAGTGTGAAGCAGCCCACAAGAGGCCCGAGTGTGCTACACGCGAGAATGTTCTCAGACTGGTGAACACTTTCCATTTCAAGAGTGTGGCGGGATACACCGGGTGGGTGGGGGCAGCGGGCTATGAGGCATGGCAAAGGGAGCCAGGGATTCAGAGATGCGCATTGTGTTACTGAACAGTGAACGGCTTGATTAGAAGCACAGAGGCACTGCTGGCTTTGCTTTAAGCCTCGCTTCTTCTATAAGCTGTACACATAGCCGCAGCATTCTGTCCTTGACCTTGCCTGCTCTGCCAGATGCTTAAATATACACTCTGAGAACTGCACAGAATAGCTTAAAGAAAAGATGCTTATCTTGGCCTCCAAACTTGTGAGTCCTTACCAATTCTTTGGTGAACACACACTCCTCAAAGTCAAAATTTGGGCTATCATCATGCCAGTCACTCAGTGTGAGAGCATGTCAATACCAGCTGAGCCAACACACCGTGGGAATAAGGCCTTCAGGATATGAGAAGGAGGGCTGGGAAGGTGGCTCAGTGGTAGAGTGCTTGCCTCGCGTGCACGAGGCCCTGGGTTCGATTCCTCAGTGCCACATAAGCAGAAAAAGCCGCAAGTGGTGCTGTGGCTCAAGTGGTAGAGCGCTAGCCTTGAGCTGAAGAGCTCAGAAACAGCACCAAACAAGCCCAGAGTTCAAACCCCATGTCTGACAAAAAAAAAAAAAAGATTTATATATATATATATATATATATATGAGAAGGGACCAGTGCGCACCTTTGCTCCATCTAGGAAGGTAAAAACTAGAGAAGCACTTAACGCTTCTCAGTAGAATCTCACTGTGAAATCTTTCTTGACAAATAAACAGCAATGTAAATCTGATTTTTCTCTTTGGGATTGCAGAAGGGTCCGTGACTCTCATTCCTATACCTTTGCTCTAGAGCCCTGGTTATACAGCAGTAAAACGGGTTCATGACCAATCAATTAAACCACTGTTTGTTTGACTTTTTTTGAGCCATGGCTCCATAAATAACTATAAAGTTTATCAACAATACTGGTTTGAGTCACATATTCATCAACAAAATACTTGTTAGATACTATCTGGTTACAGTTTCCCAAATTACACCTAAGCTATGACAGGTAAGAATAGTTGGCATTTGTGATTTATTTCCACTAAATGAGGAACATGTAGACTAATAATCAGAGTTGTAATTTTGCTTAAGAATGTTGCATAGTGCTCATCTTATATCAGCCAGGGGCAAAACAATCTGTGCCTTTGCCTGGTTCATGCCTTGGACACACATGGAAAAAAAAAAAGAATGTTGCATAGCTGGGCACTGGTGGCTCACACTTGTAATCCTAGCTAATCGAGGAGTTAAGACTAGACCTGATGATCAAGGTTCAAAGCCAGTCTGGGCAGGAAAGTCTGTAAGACTCTTATCTCCAATAAAGTCCTCCTTCCTCCAAAAATAAGCTGGAGTGGAGCTGTGGCTCATGTGGTAGAGCTCTAGCCTTGAGCACACAGAAGCTCAGGGACAGCGCCCAGGTTGGGGAGAGGAGGGAGGGTTCCATATGCTGAGTTCAGTGGCTCACCCCTGTAACCCGAGATACTCAGGAGGCTGAGATCTGAGGATCACTGTTTGAAGCCAGCCCAGGCAGGAAAGTCCTAGAGACTCATATTTCCAATTAACTACCTGAAAACTGGAAGTGACGCTGAGGCTCAAAATGGTAGAGTGCTAGCCTTGAGCAAAATGAAGCTCAGGGACAGTACCCAGGCCCTGAGTTCAAGCCCTGTGACCAACAGGGCTGGGAAGACAAATCTGAGAAATGCATCTCCAATTAACCAGCAAAAAACAGGAAGTGGAAGTATGGCTCTGGCGGTAGAGTATAAGTCTTGAGCCAAAAAGCTGAGCAAGAACACACATATACACACACACAAAGAATACTGAATGAAAACTTTCCAAGTAGCAAATGAAATTTGGACATGTCTAAAGAATAGTATTTGAGCTGGAATGTGGCTTAGTGGTAGAGTGCTTGCCTCTCGTGCATGAAGCCCTAGGTTTGATTCCGCAGTATCACATAAACAGAAGTATAGAGTGGTAGAGTATAGAAGTATAGAGTGGTAGAGTACTATCCTTGGGCAAAAGCAGCTCCAGGACAATGCCCAGGCCCTGAGTTCATGCCCCATGACTGGCCAAAAAAAAAAAAAAAAAAGAATAGTATTGCTGACAGGTGGCTCACACCTGTAATCCTAATTACTCAGGAGGCTGAGATCTGAGGATGGGGGTTCAAAGCTGGCCAAGGCAGAAAAGTCATTTTGAGACACTTATCTCCAATTAACCACCCAAAACCTCAAAGTATACCTAAGTTATATGTACTGCTACAATGTTTTATGTAAGAGACTTGAGAATGCAAGCATTCTTGCACTTTAGTATTGATAGGCATTCCTGGACTCCATCCCCCAGAGATACCAAGGGATGACTGTTGTTTAATTGCCATAGCTGTATCTCGGTGCTTGATTTAGGGAACTGCAGAAAAGGCAAAACTAGTTGCATCTTAATCTGTCAGTAATCTCTCTGCCCAGCTCCTACCATACCCATTTGTTTTCCCAATAGGGTTGAGCTTGTAGCCCAACCCACCACCTCTCCTGACCTCCTCCTAAGGGAGGTGCTCTGGACTCTAATGGGGATGATAGAAGTCATGCATTTTCTCCTATCTTAGAAGCTGTTGAGGCTGTTCTATGTACACAGTTGTTTTGTGGTACATTGTGACTGGGAAATCATTTATGTAAACATCTCCTGTTTACATTTCCACAAGTGAAGCCAACTGTGGAAAATTCCAAGTTGTTTGTAGAACATCATTCTCCAAACTAATTTATGGTGTTCAGGTGGTTCCTAATCATGTATGCTTACAGAAATGAAACAATACGAGGCCACGTGCCTGCTAATGGAAGACTTTCCCAAATTTGGACAACTGTTGATCTAGGATTACAAGCATGAGCCAGTGGTACCCAGCAATGTTACATTTTACTAGAAATATCTAATAAAATAGGCTAATTTATGGCAGCTTCACTCAGAGATGACTTCTAGAATGGGAGGCACTCTCTACTTTTTTTTGTCGGTCGTTGGGCTTGAACTCTGGTACTGGGTGCTGTCCCTCAGCTCTTCAGCTCAAGGCAAGCACTCTACCACTTGATCCACAGGACCACTTCCGGTTTTCTGGTGGTTAATTGGAGATGAGAGTCTCGCAGACTTTCCTGCCCTGGCTGGCTTTGAACC